GGGGGGGGGGGGGGGGGGGGGGAGGAGTGGAAGGGGGAAGCGGACGGGTGGAGGCAAGGCTGCGCCTTCTACACTTATTACGCGCTTTGTGCTGTGTAACAGCAGTACAAAACGCATATTGTCACGGGGTTCTCTGTGTGTGTGTGGCCGCAGCAACTTGTCCGCAACTTTCAACGCGAGAACTACAAGAGCAAAGAGGCTGAAAATTTAGAGGGACGTCCCCCACCTACGTGTGACTCCGCAAATCCAAATTCAGCTTTTCCGTATCCGCGGGTAATACGTATGGCCCCGTGAAAGTTTTTACGGGTAAATTATTATCTCGGGAACTGCGAGCTCCAGGAGGATGAAATTTTAGGGTTATGACCTCCTGCCCACGCTCAACCTTGCCTTTCCAAATTCAGCGTTCCCGCGCTCTTGAGTGTCACCTACGGCCTCGTGAAAATTTTGGCGGGCAAACAACTAAGTCGGGATAAAGATATTCACCCTTCAGGGTTTCGAATTCAGCTTTCATGCGCTGGTGCATGAAATTTTTAACCATTTTCCAATGTTTGAATTATTTTTGCATAGATTAAAGTACAAAGCAGTGAAAATCATTAATAGGCAGTCGTTCGGTGGGCTGAATTCACAGAACGCATGATCGCTTCGGCTAGCCTGGTGCGCGTTACTGTTTATTTTGAAGTCCTCACAGTTAACAGCAAATATGTGCGGTTGGCACAGCATTACAGTTGATTACACAGCTTATGTCTAAAATAGGACGTGTGGAAATCAGAAAGTGGCGCAGAGGCTCACCAAGGCAGCGAAAGCCAGGCCAGATCTGTTGGGGTAAAGAGGATGGAAATCGTGGGTGGCCTAAGTGCCTTCCGATAGACCAGAATGAAAACAGGTTTAGTCAGAGGGGGTCCTTGTGCATGTCGCTGAAATGCTGTGTTGCAGATCGAATACGGGAATAGTGAATTTGTACGATTCGGCCGATATCGTGAAAAATCCGTGCCCAAAACCGGTGAAAGTGCTGGACAATCTTACCACTTCTATAGACGGCATCACATTCACTGGCGATTCACAGCTGCTAGCCATATTTTCTAGCGTAAAAGTAAGTTTTACATGCGGAAACGAAAGTCTTTCGGTTCTGGGTTTGCAAAGCTGAAACTTAAAGAAATTGACGGAAGGACATCACCAGGATTGGACAGCCTTACAGCTTAATTTGACTCAGCACGGGGAAATTCACCTAGCCCGGACACCGTAAGAATTGACAGATTGAGAGCTCTTTCTTGATTCGTTGGGGAATATGATCTGCATCTGTAGGATAGGGCTACGACTAAAAATAAATGTCGACAAGCTTTTTATTTATATAAAAAGGATATAGATGGAGTTTTTACTTTTGACTTGGGACAGAAGTAAAAAATATTTTCAGCGTAACGCATTTCGATTGGTACACGTTGGAAGTCGAAGTGTTTACACGAATTTTCCACCAAGAAATGCCAATCTGGGTCGCGTAACAGTGGCCGATTTCTCGCCTCACAGTGGCTACATGGCAGTTGGTGATGACACGAGTTTCTTGTCACTTTTTCGATTGTTACACTTCGATAGCTACTAAATTAGTCAAGTCAGGTACAAAAATTGACCGGTGCCCAACCTGAACCAGTGGTAGCTGAGATTGTTTTCCTGTTTGCGCAGCTGTAATTCTCATATTTTTCGTAACTGGAGCTGCGTTACCCAATAATTAAGGTTGTTAACATCTAAAACTCATTCTGTTACACGGGGAAGTGTCAGAATGCGGGTATTTTTACCTCACGTATGTTTTTAATTCTGTAAGTTTTCCCGAAAAAAATTCCTTCCTCACTAAAAAAATGAGTCCCAGCACATAGCATTAAAACACCAAAGACCAAAGCAGGTTCTGAATGTGCCGAGTGTTTTGGTAGTTTTAAAAAAAAGAAAAAAATTAAAAAAATTTGGAAAATGTAAACTATGGATATTTGTTTGGCGCTGTAGGTCAGCCAATGAAAAGGACACAGTCGAATA